CCAGTCCTCCGACCCGGCCGTCCGTGCGTCCGTCCGCCAGTCCGCCCGCCGTCCTCGCTCCTCATCGCGTGTCCCCTCGCTTCTGGCTGTCTCCGGCCTCTCTGGCCCGCTGCCCCTGGACGCCCACTTTCCACGCTCGGACCCTCGGCCTCGCGCCCTCGCCCCCGTCTCCCAGCCCCGGACCTCGCCCCCTCTCCCCCTCGCCAGCAGCCTCCTCCCTTTGGGACCATGTATCTCTTTGTCTCTCGATCTCTGGGTGGTCTCAGGCCGGGGACCCCAGTCCGCCACCGATGGAAGAAGCTCTAAGACTCCCTGACCCGGGCGCCGCCCTGGCGGGGACGCACTCGGCCCTCTTCGAGGCCACCAAGGGGACCGGGTATGTCTGGGGAGCGTCGAGCGCGCCCCGCATCCTCCCACCCCGACGGCGCCGGGCTCTTTCCTCTGAACTCGGGCGTTCTCGGTCCCCATCGCCGGCTTCTCTGAATTGGCGTACCCGGGACTCGGGTGCCTTTGCGAAGCCAGGTGTGAGACCAGAGGGCGCCGGGTTTCCCGCCAAGTCTCCCTCGCCGACCTCCGAGGGGTGCTCCCCGGGCCTTCGCCTCCCTCGGGTGGTCGCCCTTGCGCGCTGCCCTCCTCTCCGCGGTCCAGCTCCAGCCCGGCCGCGTGCCGGCTGTGCGGACCGCAGGGGTAGCGTCCCCCGAGGGTCAGGCGCATAGCGTCTCTTGGACAAAGGAATGCATGTCTCTGAGCCTCAGTGTCCCCGTCATAAAACAGGGACAATAGGACCACCTATAGAGACGCGCGGGGGAACTATCAGAAAAGCCAGTCGGGAGCCTCTTGGTGCCGGTGGGGGAGGAGCGTCTACATCCTTGGGTGGGGCAGGGATGCGACTCCACCGAGACGCCCCAAATTCCGAGCCACCAACCTCAGTCCCCAACCCCGTCACACTGCCTGTCCCCCTCCTCCTGCTGCCCCTCCCGACAGCCACACTCTCCCAGGCCATCTCTCCCTCTCCCGCTTCGCTCCTCCTAAAATCAAGAGTTTAAAGACCAGGGGGAGCAGGGTCTCTGCTTGCTGGCTGAGGTCGGTGTGGCTTCGGTGTTGCTGTAGCTGGCTGTCCCTCAGGAGGCGTCCCTGTCACTCATTCGCGACGGTTCTGAGCCTTTCTGAGGGTGCTCGCTCGCAGGCACTTCCGTTCCCCCTGGGGCACTGTCTGTCTGCCCATCCTGGACCTGCTGTGTAGTTGCTCAAATGTCCTGACCCTCTTTGGTGTCATCAGGACAGGTGACACCGCCCCCCGGGAGGCTGCGGAGATGTGGGGTAAGTGACCCAATGAGAGCAGCTCAGGAGGAGGGGGAGGAGGGGGAGGAGGGGGACCTCGGAGCCGGCAGGTGCCAGGCCACCCGGCAGCTGAGTTTTTGTTTCAGCTACCACCAGGGCTGGCAACTGGAGCGTTTCTTTTTAGAGAGGCAGGAGTGCAGCTGGGGACCCCGCAACACACACACCCCACCCGGGCCCTTCCTGCCGCCGTGGCCCCCCATCCTAGGGCCGCAGAGCCTTCTGCAGAAAGCCTGCCCGGCAGCGGCTCCTGAACCCCAGGAGCTTGTCCACACCTTCCGTGCTGCCCTCCTCCCTCCCCTTTCAATCCGGCCCCTCTGCCCAGCCCCAGCCCCTCAGAGGCTCCCTGTGGCCTCTGAGTTAACCAGAGACCCCTGCACCCTGCCTGCCCTCCAACCCCCATCCGAATCCTCGGGTCATCTCCACCTCCACGCCCTGACTTCCGCTAGGGCTCTGCCCTCTATCTGAGGTGTCTCTCTGACTCTGTCCCAGTCAAGCCTCCCTTTCTTGCCAGCCAAGGCACTGTCCCCTCCTGTTGGCAGCACCCTGCTTTTCCCTCGCCCCGCTGTCCCTCTGGATCTGTCAGCGTGGTCCCATGACTCATCGTGGGAAGCTGCTGCACTTCCCTGGGGTGGGGGCTGGGTCTCCATCCCCTGAGGTCCCAGCGCCTGCCGAGGAGTAGGTGCTCTGTTCAAACTTAGCGTAAGCGGCATTCTTGGTCCAGGGGCAGGAATGAGTGGAAAACTGCAAGCCCCAGCTTTCCCGTGGCTTCCACTGGATCACGTTGGCCAGGCAGGGGGCAGAGCTGCTTGCAGTCCTGCCCTCGCATGGGCCAGGAGTGTGACAGAGCAGGCATGCGCACTCCAGCCTCCCAGACTGCAAAACCTGGGAAGACCAGGGGTTCACTCCAGACAGAGCAGGCGTGAGCGCATCCCTGTCCTGGCACACTGGGAGGAGACCTTCCCCGCTTCCCCTCCCTCTCTGCTTTGCTTCCTGGGGCGGGGGCGGGGCTGCTGCCTTGGGGCAGCAGGTCCTCCTGGGAAGGTTACTGAATGTTTACCACCAGCAGCCCTGCCTAGGTCCCAAACCCCAACACTGGTGTGGCATTGGCCACCTGGTACACACTCTTGATGGGGTGAGGGATGGTCTGATTGCAGGGCCCGTGGTCTTTGGCGTTTCTCTCCGTGTCAGGCTCTGGCTTAGGTCCTGGCACAGGTCACCAGCTGCAGCTGAACTGGGATGGCTTGCCAAATGGTAGCATCAGCAGTGGTCAGAGTCACATGAGATCGTTGGTTGTGGGTTTGAATCCCAGCTCTACCACTTGCGGTGCTGTGTGACTTGGATTCACCCCTCCCATTTTTGTCCTGCTATCTCTTTGTAGCCATTGTTGCTATTATTATCTGAAAAGTATTAAATGAAATAATGCATATGCAGCTCTAGGTTTGAAATCCAAGATGACTAATAAACGATGCGCAAGTAAAAATATTCCTTGCTCCCAGGTGGAACTGGAGCCCAGAGAGGTTAATTAACATGCCCAAGGTCCCACAGCTATTAAGTGCTGGAGGCAGGATCCACACCTCGGCTTGGCTGGTTCCAGGTGTCTTTCTGCTCCACACTGGCCTCTGCCAGAACCCGACAGCAGGCATTTTGTCACTTGAAGACCAAGTGATCCAGCTGACCAACTGCCAAGTGCTGTTATGTTGTCTGGACATCAAGATAGTGAAGTTTGGGGGTGCAGGGGGTGGAGTTGCCCCAGCGACCACCACACGTGAGTTGCTTGGGAGAAGGGGCTGCCAGGGACCTGTGATCTGGCAGGAGCTATGTAGAGCCCCGGACACCCCTAGGCAGGTTTCCCGAGGTTCTAGGGGAACCCTGACACCCCTACCCAGGTTTTCTGAGGTGGGAGGTCTTGCGGGGACAGGGTCCCAAGGTTCTGTTAGAACAATCAAAGCAGATGGGGAAGCCCTACAGGGAAGCCAAACCTCATTTGCCAAGACAATGGCCCCCTCCCGGCCAGCCTAGGCCTGTCCTGCCCCCATCGATCACCCTACTGAGGACAGAGGATGCGGCCACCTGCGCCTGCCCCCTGCACGCTGAGACCCAAACAAGTGCTTCCAGGGACCTCCCCACCCCCACCCACCATCCCCACCCCGCTCACGCCTTCTCCTGCCCCTGCCTTAGTAGCGGCGGCCACGGAGTCCCATCCTCATACACACCCTTGCCGGCCCTTCTCACACTCTGGGCATTTTACAAGAGAGGAAACTGAGGCTCAGGGAGCGGAGAGACTTTGTCCAAGTCATCAGCTCTTGGGGACTCACCAGGGGCTCAGTTTAATGGGTTTGGGTGACATCCATGTTTTCCCGGGTTTTTTGTGTTTTTGTTTGTTTATTTTGGTTTTTGAGGCAGGGTCTTGCTATGTAATTTAGGCTGGCCTTGAACTCATGGTGGAGCCCAGGCTGGTGTCATACTGGCAGTGATCCTCCTGCCTCAGCCTCCCTAGAGCTAGGATCATAGGTGTGTGTGATCAGCGTGCCTGGCTGACCTCCATGTGTTTTAATCTGTGTCACCACCTTCATTAGACCTGCAGGCTCTCTTTGGGGACTGTCTCCTCTGTCTGGGGAGGAAGACTGTATTTCTGGTAGCAGTTAGAAGCTCCGTGTTCTAGGACTTCCCGGGGCCACAACTGTGCTTCTCCTATCAACCTGGGAAGCCCCAGGGGATCCCCTGTGCCTCCACTATTAGAATGGAAGCTTCCTGGACAGGGGCTGCCTCTTCTGTGTGGCAGGGGCTGTGTCTCTCATCCGTCTAGGAGTCCTCTGAGGCATGACCTGGGTCTCTCTCTCGTCACAGCGGGTCAGGGCTGTGTCCCCATCAGACCAGAGTGGATTCCCTGCCTGAAAAAGGCCTGGAAGGAAGGGGAGCTAGGGCTTCCGCCTGAGGCCCGGGTGCTGCTGAGAGACCCCTTCCTGTGAGAAAGGAGGCACTTTGAGGGTGCAGAGCTACTGAGGAAGGCCAGTGGGCAGGGACGGGCCCAGGGCTGTCAAGGTGCAAATACAGAGCTGGGGATTTAGGTCAGCGGCACGGCGCCTGCCTGGCGAGTGCAAGGTCCTGAGTTCGATTCCCAGTACCGGAAAAAATAAACAAACAAACAAACAAACAAAATCAATTTTGGTGGGCTGGGGATTTAGCTCAGCAGCACAGCACCTGCCTGGCAAGGGCAACGTCATGAGTTCGATTCCTGGTACCATTCCTGGTACCGGTAGAAAAACAAAAACAACAAACTATTTGACAGGAAGGTGCAAATACAGCAGTAATCCCCCCAGTGCCCCCACCCAGGTTTTTTGCCTTCTCTGCCCTCCATCCTACTGGCACCGCTGGGCTCCACCCACCCTGACTCCTCTATCACTGCCCACCGTGTCCCCTGGAAGTGCTGACCTCCCAAGCCAGCAAATCTCAGGTCAGGTGACTGAGCCCATTTCACAGACAAGGAAATTAGGTCAGGCGACACCACGGGGCTGTAGCAGGGACTGGGAGAGAGGCCTCAGGGACAAGGCCAGCCCCAGATCACCTCGGAAAAAGCCCAACCCAGCACTTAATTAATTTATTTTTTGTTTTGTCTTTTTTTATTTTGTTTTTTTTGTTGTTGTTGTTTTTTTTTTTGGAGACAGGGTCTGGCTATGCAGTTCAGGCTGGCCTTGAGCTCACTTTGTAGCTCAGGTTGGCCTCAAACTGGAAACAATTCTCCTGCCTCAGCCTCCCTAGTGCTGGGATTACAGGTGTGTGCCACCATGCCCGGCTCCAGCACTTAATTTAGAAAACACCCCATCCCTCTCCGCTGTCCTGTAGGATATAAGTACTCACTGAACAAGCAAAAGTATCCACTTTCACGGCTGGGGGTATAGCTCAGTGGTATAAGCACCTGCCTGGCAAGCGCAAGGTCCTGAGTTTGATTCCCCATACCAAAAAAAAAAAAGTATCCACTTTCCAGCCTTGGGGCGTAAGCTACCCCGGAAGTCAAGAGTCTGCTTCCAGGGTGCTGGGAGCTTGAAGACCCACCAGCAGGAGCTCCAAGGTGGCAGAGCTGAGGCAGGTGGCATGTGGCCCTGATAGCAGCCAGGAGCTTGGGGACAGCTGCCTGCCACCTGCAAATCCAGCCGTTCCCAGAAGTGCCCACCTGGGCCGTACTGGTGAGGGCGGGAGTCAGGCGAATCACGAAGTTACAGCGTCCTGTGGTTTCCATGGAAGTAGGGGAACAAAACCAGAGATATTCCTGTCCCCAACACTGAGCCCCGGTTCTGGGGACCTGGTCGCTGTCCCCGGGGCTCCCGGCCTAGGAAAACCTTTCAGTGAGAATCGAGGGCAGAGGGGGAGCAGGAGAGAGCTCTGGGGAGGCGAGGATCTGCCACCCCCATAATCCAGTCATGAAAGACTTTGAGGGGACCTGTGAGATCTGAATCCCCCCGCTTTTTTTTTTTGGTACCGGTAATTGAACTCAGGACCTTGCACTTGCCAGACAGGCACTTATGCCACTGAGCTATATCCTCAGCTTTTTTTTTTTTTTTTTGAGATCTGAATCCTAAGAGCACCGAAGAGGCCCCAGAAGACAGAAGTCAGCCCCTAGTCCCAGGGTCCCTTTCCCAGGGGCAGGAGAGCCTACCTCCGGGCTCAGCCACACATGAGGCGATCTGTGGGATGAGCTCGCAGTCAGAGTCTCCCTGGAGCCATTTCTTGGCCTCTGGGACAGTCAGCGGCTCTTCCCGCCCAGGTTCAGTAGGGGGTGCTCCTTCCAAGTTCCTTATGGGCTGGAGAGGGTTAGCCTGCTCTGGTGGGGAGGGGAAGTCAGCAGCTGAGGGTGGCCAGGGCTCAGCCAGGACTGGAACCCCCCCATACAGCCCCCCATCCCCACCGGCTCGCCTTCCTTCCTAAAGAGCCCCTGACACACGGCGGCGGCATGCGCACACACACACATACACGCACACAAGAGGCCCTGTGCTGGTCCCAGCCTCCCCTCTACCCAGGGCTGGCCACTCTGGAGAGTGGACAGGGTGTCCCCAGGGGCTGGTGAGGGGCTGCTGGCTGGGGAGGGTTGTCTAGTTGTTGCATTTCTTCTTTCAGCAATAGCGGATATGTCCTCTGAGCCATGCTGGCTCAGTGCATGTCGCTAACCCCCGAGGGCTCCTCCGGAACCTTAGACCTGTAATCCTGACATCCTGGGAGGCTGAGGCAGGAGGATCACAAATTGGAGCCCAGCAGGGGGCAGTGAAGTGACTTAGCAAGACCCTGTCTCAAAATGCAAATTTTTTAAAAGGCTGGGGATGTAGCATGGTGTGAAGGTTGTGGGTTCAATCCCCAGTGCCACCAAAAACAAAAAAAAAAGACCAAGACAAAGACGCCTGTCACGGGCGTGATGGAGGGAGCAAAATGACATTGGCAGTGTTCCAAGAACTACGTTCCCTGCCCACGCTGGGCCAGGAAAACCTAGGCCTCGAGCGGTTTTGCTATGGGTCTGTGGCTTGGCCTCCCAGAGCTTCGGTTTCCTCATTGTAAAAGTATGGGAAGCCAGGTGTGGTAGTGCATGCCTGTGATCCTGGCACTCAGAAGGCTGAGGCAGGAGGATTGCTAGAAGTTTGAAGCCAGCTTAGGCAACATAGCAAGATTCTGTCTCAAAAAAAGGGTGAGGGGGATCCTGCCTGGGGAGGTGACTGTCCCTGTCTGGGACCCAGGCCCACAACACTGCAGCTTTGGAGCCAGCGGCAGGCAGGCCCGGGATGTGGGCAGGCAGGGCACACCTGCTGCTGCCTCTCCCTTGAATGCCTGGTGCTTTTGTGCCACAGCTCCTACTGGCTTCCAGAGTGACAGGGAGGATGATGGCCCGTCATCACCCGGGACCCTTGGAGCGGCTTCTGCGGCAGGCTGTGTTAGTTACCCAAGTGGCTCTTTGCCAGGCTGGCATCCTGGTGGCTGGGCTGTGCCAAGACCAGCCTGAAAATCCCATGGCTGGAAGACCGGGGACTTTGCAGGCTTCCTGGTCCCCGCTCCCACCCGGGGGAGCTGCCCTCGACCTGCACATAGTATCAGTGCCTGGCAGGCCCGGCCCTGGGTGTCCACAGGGGCAGAGCTAGGACTGGGGCTGCCCCTCCAGCTGGGGACCTAAAAACAGCCCATAGGCCCTGTCCCAAATGCATCCGAAGTCCTCCAGAGCTGGCTGGACCAGGCTGTGGGGCCCCAAGGGGGGGGCATACCGTTGGGGACTGAGCAAGGCTTTCTGGAGGGGGGGCGTTTGCTCAGCACCTGTCAGAGAGGTGGGGGTGGAGGGGAGGTTGTCCCAGGCAGAGGGAACAGCGCAGGGGGCATGGAGATAGACGGGAAAGATGCGTGTGTTTGGGGCCCAGGGAAGAGTTTATTGGCTCTGAAAGGAGAAAGCACAAGTTAGGGCTGCAAAGCCAGATTGGGGTCACATCATAAGAGATCTCAAGTGTGAAAGGGAGGAGTCCATGGCTAAATGGGAAGGCAGTAAGGAGCCACGGTCAGTTTTGAGCAGAACAAGTCCTGGTCAGTGGAACTGATGAGGCGTGGGGGGGCAGGCTGGTGTGCATACTGAGGTCTGAGCAGAGGGACGGCGCCTCATGGGTACGCTGGCACTGTGCACAGCTGCCCAGGCGGGGTGGCAGGCCAGCCATACCCCTCCCCCGCTTCCCCAGGATGAGAGCGGATCCCTGCGAACGGGGTGTCCTGTGGCTTCTCCCAAGCTGTCACCGGTGTCCCCGGCCAGGCCAGGGCTGCAGAGCGGCCCCGGAACTGCCACGGGCCTCAAACCCGGCTGGGTCCCTGCCAAAGCAGGACAGTGACAGTGCCTGGCTGAAGGCTTTCAGCGCCCTAGGGGCTGCTGGGAGCTCGGCCTCAGGGCTCTCGTTAGGGAGATGGGGGTGGCGCAGGAGCCTCTGGGCCAGGACTGCAGGGGCTAAGGTCCCAGGGAGGGTTGGATGTCTCAGGACAGGTCACCAGGGCCTGCACTGTGAATCTTCAGCTGGGCCAAGATAGGGGACAAGACGGAGCCCACTGTGTGTCCAGCCACCGGCTCCAGGGAGAGCACAGAGACAGGCAGCGGGTGGTGAGGGGGGACTGAGCCGGCGGCAGGGCAGGAGGGACGCTGGAAGTCAGGGACTCTTCGCAGGCTGGGCGGGCTTTTCTCAGGCCGGGGCAATGATCCAACCCCAAATCACAAAGAAACGCTGTCCAAAGCGCCTCGGAGAGCCCAGCAGGGCCCTGCGGAGGCCATAAAAATGCAGTCAGCCCCCTAACGTGGTGGGGAGCCTGGCCACAAACGGGGAGCGTCCCCAGCGTCCCACAGACAGGCTTCGCTCTGAACTCCTCGGCCCAGCTAGGGTGTCTGGAGAGGGGCGCTGAGTCTCCAGAAGGCTCCCTGCGGGGGTCAGAGCTGAGTCCTGTCCCCAAAGCCCTCAGGGCCACGGGGAGGGACAGCGGCAGAGCCTCAGGTGTTGGGGGGAGGAGGGTGCTACGTCCCAGGACCAGGACGGACACAGGGGCCGGGACGCCCGGATAAGAGTGACACACAGGCCGTGTGACTTACTCTCTGGCCTTTGGGGCAAAGGGGAAATGACAGTAGCCGTTTCAGGCAGGCGCTTGTGCTGCTGAGCTATATCTGTGGCCCTGGCAGGAGCCATTTCGGTGCACTATGGGAAGGACTATGGGCCATGAGCTCACACAAGGTCCTCACCATACCCAAGTAGCACGCGCTCCACCGCCATGACTTTGTTCCCTTGGCCACTGCAGTTGTACTCTGAACCCAGGGACGTAGAGGGGACTTCAGCTATGTGCCACAGCCTCGGCAAAGGGCAGAGGTTTGGGCACAGAGTGACTCCAGACCTGGACAGTGCTTCCACGATGTCAGCCAGGGCCCTTCACCCCGCCCTGCTGTCTGTCTGGAACCCTCCAATGCTGGCATGGGCCATGCGGGGCGTTAGCTGCACCTTGGCCTCTACCCATGGGGCGCCATGAGCAGGTTTGGGAGGTTTTGTTTGTTATTTCAGAACTGGCAGTGGAACCCTAGGGCACTCTTCTACTGAGCCACATCCTCACCCCTTTTCTGTTTTTATTTTGAGACAGGGTGTGGCTAAATTACCCAGTCTGGCCTCCAACTTGTGATCTCCTCCTAGGGTAGCCGGGATGGCAGGCAAGTGCCGCTACACCCAGCGTCACCCCCAGTTTTGTTTTTGCTTTGCTTTTTTGGGGGGGTTACCGGGAATCGAACTCAGGACCTTGCACTTGCCAGGCAGACGCTTATGCCACTGAGCTCTATCCCTGGCCCTGTTGTTTTGCTTTTTGAGACAGGGTCTCCATATGTAGTTCAGGGCTGGCCTTGAGCTCTCAGGAACCCTCCTGCCTCAGCTTCCAGTGTGCTGGGATGACAGGCGTGCGGCACCAAGCCCGGTAGCATCCCTGTTTTGAGAACGTTGCCAAATGGTGCCCTCTAGCACTGCTGGGGAAAACAGAGCGTGACCCGGATATGAGGGACGCGCGTGGGCTTGGGGTCCCCACTCAGCGCTGCCTCTTGCAGGAAGGACCATGGCCGGGCCCGCGCTGCGCAGCGCCCCCGTGCGGCTGCTCGTCCTCCTGGCGCTCCTGGAGCTGAGCTTGGCGGGCTCCCTTGCACCCGGATCGCCTCTGCGGACCCCGCCTGAGAACCACATCGACCCCCCGGGCCCCGCGCTGTGGACGCCCCAGGCCAGCCACCACCGCCGGCGGGCCCTGGCCAAGAAAGAGCGGGGCGCGGGTTTGCCGGGGGCTGTGACCACCGCCTCCAGGCTGCCCGGGCAGAGCCCTGCGGGCCTGCGGGACAAGGACCTGCTGCTGGGGCTGGCGCTGCCCTACCCTGAGAAGGAGCACCGGCCTCCGGGGTGGGAGAGGGCGAGGAGACGCGGCCGGGAGCACAAGAGGCGCAGGAACAGAGCGAAGCTGCACAGAGGTAGCTGGGGATGGGGGGCGGTGGAGGGCGCGTCCCAAAGGCGCAGGGGGCGGGGGGTGGGCGGCCTGGGTCCCTGGGAGGCTGCCAGAGGCAGCGGCAGTGGGCACCCGGCAGATGGAAAGCAGTCTCCCTGAAGTCCGAGGGGTCTGGTGAGGCAGTAGAGGCTGCGGTGCGCGGGCAGGGAAAGTGAGGGCCGGGTAGGCCCCGGGGCTCAGCCTTATCCATAGGTCAGGAGCTTCTACCCGGTGTCTGACCGAGTCTGTCCTACTGTAAATCCCAGTAGAGATGGCACAGTTCTGTAACCTAAGCACATCCGTTAATCTACTCTGAATCGGCGGAGTGGGGCCAAACTAGGCTCTGAACCGGCCAGCAGTGGCCCGCGGCCTGTCCCTGCGCCCCGCCCTGGCCTCACCGCCCCGGGACGCCTTGCAGGGTCGGTCTCACCAGCTCCCATTACTCGCTGCTACGTCCCTGGATGTCCCCAGCCAGCCCACCTGCACAGCGCCGTTTCCGGGAGCGCCCCTGAGTGCCCCCCAGCGCCGTGTGGAGCTCATGGCAGACGCTTCCCGCGCTGAGCTCCGCATCTCCAGCTCTCGGGGAGGGGCGGGGCGGGACGTCAGCCGAACCAAGGGCTTGCCACCCGGTCCCTGCTGTCCCTGGGTTTGGCTGTGTGCTATCACAGGTGGCAGCAGGTCCAGCCCAGAGTCCCCTCCCTCCCCCGCATCTCAGGCCGAGCGCTGGTCCGAGGCCCAAGCTCCCTGAGGAAAAAGGCGGAGCTCTCGGAGGACCTGCTGGTAGACGCCACCATGGAGGAGTCCTCCACCAGCCTGGCCCCCTCCCTGCTCTTCCTCACCACCTTGGAGGCAGCCCCCGCCACGGAGGAGTCCCTGGTCCTTCCTGTCACTTCCTTGCAGCCCCAGGTAAGGCGCCCAAAGCAGCCCCAGGGCTGGGAGGGTTATGTACCCGCCCAGTAGTGGCGACAGGAGAAGGGCAGTGGAAGCTGCCCTGCCTACATACAAAGGCTCCTGTCCGGGAGAAAGGGGCCTGCGGTCACCCAGGAACAGCCAAGGACGCGGAAGATGGCTCAGCGCGCAGGTCTGGGCCCGCACAGCTTTGAGGCCCTGGAAAAAGAGCTTGCAGTCCAGGAGGGGACGGAGAGTAGTCACAGTAACTGTAGAAGCCACGTCTCTGTGAGCCAGCACTAACCAGCGTTAGTTAATGCTTTGACCTCCCCATTCTGGATCTTTGAAAAAGATGCACCTAGCCGGGCGTTGTGGTACATGCCTGTAATCCCAGCACTCGGGAGGCTGAGGCAGGAGGATCGTTGCAAGTTGAAGTCCAGCCTGGGCTACAAAGTGAGCTCAAGGCCAACCTGAGCTGCATATGGAGACCCTGTCTCAAAAAGACCAAAAAAAAAAAAAAAAAAATGCACAGAGAAGTGAGGAAGCAAGGGGATGCCACTGAGATGCCTCCTCCCAGGTACTGAAGGAGCGTAGAGAGGAATCGATCAGTTCTCCAGCCTCCTCCCTGACCCTGAAATTTTTTCAAAAATAACACCATTGAAAGGGATCGATAATAATATATTGTATATGTCAGTAATAGAGAATATATTGTCTACACATAAGAAAAAATAGGGGCTGGGGATATAGCTGAGTAGTACAGCGTTTGCTTGGCAAGTGCAAGTTTATGAGTTCAATTCCCAATACCAAAAAATAAAAATCATAACTTATATCAACACAATAGTGCCCCCTTCTCCACAGTTTTACTTTCTGCAGTTTCCATCAATTGTGGTCCAAAAATATTAATTGTGTGAAGCATGGTAGTGCACTCCTGTAATCTCAGCACTGGGGAGGCTGAGGCAGGAGGGCTGCTGTGAATTTGAGGCCAGCACGGATGCCTGAGTGAATTCAAGGTCAGCCTGAACTACTTAGGGAGACCTTGTCTCAAAAAACCCTACAAAAACTAGCATAGGTGTATGCAGAGGAAAAATAGGGTTCAGTGCTATCCACAGTTGCAAGCGTCCCTTGGGGCTCTGGGGGCATCTCCTCTGGATAATGGGGGGCCCACTGTAAATCTTTCTTAGCCTCTTTCTGGGTCTGGCACTGCCCTGGGATCCTGATGAAACCTGTGGCCAGACCCCAGGAGTATACGGTTGTCTATGTCACTGAAGGCCCCCCGAAGCCCACCAGTGGAGAACCCATTGTGGGTGACTGTATGAGACCCCACATTCTCAGTCCCTTCCACTCCCTTCTGCAGGCGCCAGCCAGGTCCGACGGGGAGGTGATGCCCACGCTAGACATGGCCTTGTTTGACTGGACCGACTATGAGGACTTGAAACCCGAGGCCTGGCCGTCTTCGAAGAAGAAAGGTGTGCAGCCAGCCCTGCCCGCCCTGTGCCTGTCCCCCCAACTCTTCTGGGGAACCCAGTGAGCCTTGTGTGACTGCATATGACCCTGGGTAGATGCGGGGGTCTCAATTTAAACTGCAGTCGACACTCAAAATGCCAGACACTTCCCATGTGTCGACTCCCTGGGAACACAATGAGCCTGTGTGAACCCATTTAGAGAAGAGGAAACTGAGGCGGCGAGCTGTGGAGTGTCTCGTCCCAGCCACCCTGTGACACCCGGGTCCTTGTGCTTCACGGCTGTGCTGTGCTGGGCCTCAGCTTCTGATGCCAGATTTCTTTGTCCCCAGAGAAACACGGAGGCCTGTTCTCCAGCGGTGGTAACGAGACAGCGCCAGCCGAAGGGGAGCCGTGCGACCATCACCAAGACTGCCTGCCAGGTACCCGAGCCCACGCCCAAAGCACCAGGACCAGGACGATGGGGACAGGGCTTCTGGGTGTGGGACAGGTCACTGTGACCCTTTTCTTCCTTTCCGGTACTGAGGATCAAATCGCACTGAGCTCCATCCCCAGACCCCTCTATTTTTTATTTTAAAACAAGATCTTGATAAACTGCTAATTTGCCCAGGCTGGGCTCGAACTTGTGATCCTTTTGCCTCAGCCTCCAAAGTACTGGGATTACAGGTATGAACCACCACGCCCAGCTCCCCAGGACCAATGGGCAATAAATAATGACATCAGCAGTTACCAGTGTTCCGAGCAATGCTGTCACGTGTGAGGCAGTCTGGCCCCAGAGAAGCTAAGTGTCTTTCTGGGAATGCTTTTGGCGACATCTTCACCCACTCTGCAGCTGCCTCCTCCGTCAAGACAGCTACCACAAGAGGCCTGAGTTTGGCTAACGCCCTAAACTTCTGTCCCTCATCACGTCACATGGGTCCTCTGGAAGCAGATGCTGAGGTGGAGTTAGAAATGCAAGAGATTGGGGCTGGGGATTTAGCTCAGCGGCAAAGTGCCTGCCTGGCAAGCACAAGGTCATGAGTTCGATTCCTGGTACCGGAAGAAAAACAAACAAACAAAAAAAAAAAAAAAAAAGAAAAAGAAATGCAAGAGATTGCATGCCTGTAATACCTGCACTCTGGGAGGCTGAGGCAGGACAGTCACAAGTTCCAGCAATTTAGTGACTTAGTGAGACCCTGGCTCAAAATATAAAATAAGAAAAGGGCTAGGGATGCAGCTCGGTGTGAAGGCCCTGGGTTCAATCCCCAGTACTGCCAAAACAAACAAAAAAAAGTACAAGAGGTTTGCCTTGAGGGTTGGGGAGACACCTGTGGAAGGTCAAAGGCAAGGGAACAAGGTGAACAGAGAGTCCTTTGGACAGACGCCGGCTCTGGCCAGGCGGTGGGCACTGCGAGCACAATGGCTGCTTCAGGAGGCCCTTGAGGGGCAGAGATGGCCAGGCCCTGGCACCCCCACCCTGCCCCCGTACCCACAAGTGCATCTTTCCTTCCCAAACCATTGTTCACGCCCTGAGCACAAAGACAGCTCCAGCCCAAGCCGACTGGGTAATCCTCTTGGGGGGCAAAGCCACGCTCCAGGGCAGCCTGGGCATCAGCGTCCTCGTCTGTCAAAAGAGGGCGCTGGTGTCATAGGTCCCCGAGGCCCCTCCCACTCAGCTGACTCCACACCTGGGGGCCCCAGCTGTTCCAGCCATTGCCCCTGAGAGGTGACCCCACACTGCCCTCACTCTTCCCATAATCTATCAGTTGCCTGTCTAGGGCAGCTGGGGTCCCTACCACTGCCCCCAGGGAGCTTGGCCGTGACATCCACGAGTGGGCCTGAGCACCAGATGGCCCCCTGCCACCAGGCAGCCGATGATGGATTTCCGCCCCAGTGGGACTGCGTGCGGGGCGGTGGGGCGGGGCCGCTCAGCTTGACTGACTGCTGTGTGCGCTGGCTGCATCTGCAGGGACCTGCTGTGACCTGCGGGGACACCTCTGCATACCTCACAACCGCGGCCTCAACAACAAATGCTTTGACGACTGTATGTGTGTGGAAGGTGGGTCGTGGGGAGGAGGCTCCACGCACTCCGGGTCCCTTGAGGTCTCTGTCAAAGCTGGTTCTGCTAGCCAGGTATGGTGGCACACCTGTAATCTGAGCAGTCTGGGAGGCTGAGGCAGGAAGAGCTCAAGTTTGAGCCTATCCTGGGCAATTTAGAAATGCAGTGAGACCGTCTCCTGGCAGAGGGTGGGTGGAGGGGCTGTGGTGAAGCCGAGGAAGGAGAAGCACTTGGGAGCTGCAGACGAGAGTAGAACAGCTTTGCTCGGGCCCTTCCCAATCTGTGAACTCGCTTGGTCTTGATTCCTGGCACCCTTTCCTAGATTTGCTTTCCTCGCCTCTTGAAATACAAGCTGGCACGGTCGTCTGTGCTCAGCAAGGGGGGATGCGGAGGGGACAGGCACGGAGCTCTGTTTGGCACGGAGCTCTGTAAATAAGACCCAGCAGGAAAGGCTAGCACTCTCGAGCGGAACTGCACCCCGGGAGGCACCCAAGTGCGACATGGCTGAGGATAACCAGCACAGGGCCAGGAGAGGACACGCTGGGCACTGCCGGTTTCAGCTCCTACCAGGCGCTGGAGGCCGTGCCCTCCCCACTTGTACACACAGCCCCAAGGGTGCCAGGCACCTTCTCCCCAGAAATCCTCACACCCAACCATAGGAGGGTGCTATAATGACCCCACTGCACAAAGAAAGGCTTTTTTATTTTTAAATTTTATTTATTTATTTATTTATTTATTTATTTATTTATTTAGGTTTTTTAAAGACAGAGTCTTGCTATGTAGTTCAGGCTGGCCTTGAACTCACTATGTAGCCCAGGCTGGTCTCAAACTTGCATCAGTTGTCCTGCCTCAGCCTCCCAAGTGCTGGTATTCCAAGTGTGCACCACCACGCCCAGCTCCAGTTTTGTATTCTGAAGAATTCCAAATGCATACGAAAGAAGTCACAATGGTGTGATGCATCCCTGCAGCCCATCACAGAGCCTCAATAATAGACCAGCTCTCAGCCAGTCTGTGTCTTCTCTTCCCTATCCACTCCCTCATTCCAATAAAATTTCAAAACAGCTTCTGGGAGTTGACAGATACTTCATCTGTGAACACATTGGCATATGTTTCTGAAAGATACGCATCCTTGAAGAAAAAAATGCTAAAATTTGAACAGTAATTACTCAAATACCATCCAGTATCCAACCCATGTTCCCAACCCCTCTGTGAGTGGGAGAATCTGAGCTCAAGCCCTCCATGAATCAAGATGCATTCGAACCCTGTTTTACTCACGTGATCCTCCAAAATGATCAGCTTGGGAAGCAGTACATCCATTCAGGTCTGATTATTCATCCAGTGCTAATCAGTTAAAAAATACTTATCATGCTGGGCATGGTGGTGCATGCCTCTAAACCCAGCACTTGGGAGGCTGAGGCAGGAGGATCATTGCAAGTTTGAGACTTATGAAGTGACCTCAAGGTCATCCTGAATCCTGGACTGCATAGCGAGACCCTGTCTCAAAGACAAAAAAAAAAAAAACTTGTCAAGCCAAGCGTGGTGATCTACACTCATAATCCCAGCACTCTAGAAGGCTGAGGCAGGAGGATTGCAAGTTTGAATCTAGCCTGGGCAATTTAGTGACTTAGCCATCGAGTCCCTGTCTCTAAATTAAAACGGAGACCCTAAGAGAAGGGCTGGGGGTGTAGCTCAGTGTGAAAGCCCTGGATTCAATCCCCAAGATGAGGAAAGGAAGGGAGCAAGGGAGAGAGGAAGGATATATGAGTGCCTAGTAGGTGTCAGGTGCGGATGAGGACAGGGCACGTGGAATCCAGGATGAAAATGGCGGCTTCAGCATGCAGAGATTACAAGCCAGCAAGATGCGCCGACCGGGGATGTAGAGACAAAGTCCATGGCAAGTACTCGGGCTGCAGAAGTCCACACAGGCGGTCAGTGCCCTGGAGCAGCTGTCTGAGGCTGGGAAGAAGTGCTCCGGGCTGGAGCCAAGTGTGGGGCAGTGGCCTTGGCCAGAAATCCTGACAGGGGCCCAGTGACCCCCGGGAAACTGGTGCAGGGGAGCCTCACACGAGACCCTGTGGGCCTTGTTTGGGTCTTGTTTGGTGTGCAGTTGGGCGTCCCAGTTGGTTTCGTGGTTGGTTTGGTTTTCACGGCACTGGGGAAGCCACAGCAGAGGGACCTGAGTTCGGCCAGGTGTGCCGAGGACCCTGAGAAATCCCGAAGGGCTGAGCACGGGCTGCGGGGCTGAGTCTGCGGTCATGGCCACGAGTTCTGGAGGCTGGGGGAGCGGCTTCAGTATCCTGCTATGAACGGCCCATTCCTCCCATGGGTCACCACGGGGCCATGGCCTGGAGGCCAGGTGGCCTGGTGTAAATTCTAGGTCCCTAAGCACAGACCTCTCTGTGCTGCCTTTCCTTCCTGGCTGGTGACAAAAGCACATCTTTGTTTTGTTTGTTTGGGGTTTGTATTTTTTTTGTACCAGGAATCGAATTCAGGACCTTGAGCTTGCCAGGCAGGTGCTTGAGCCACTGAGCTATATCCCTGGCCCCAGAAGCACATCTTAAAGAAGAGGTGTTCCCTCTCCCTGGAGAGAGGGAATCACTGCAACAAAGAATGCAGGAGTTTCCCCGGTCACTGGCATCTCTTTTCCCAGCTGTCGGCAGGAAGCAAACTTCTGTGGCCTTCAGTGAAAAATATGTCTACCCACACATCTCTGGGGATGACTGTCACCACAGGCAAATCCCAAGCCACAAAACCCTGCCATGGGAGGGCCAGGAGGGCCACCCTGGCTTTAATTATGGTGCTCAGAGGCACTCTATTTGAGACCTGAAGGCTGAAGGACACAACTATACAAAGAACGTGGGGAAGGGATTTCTGGCTGAGATGATACATGCAAAGGTCCTGAGGCCGAAATGGCTGGGAATCAGGCCAGGGTCAGTGAAAAGGAGAGTAGAAGCGAAAGCGGCAGACAGGTGCCTGAGTCCGGGTTCTGGAGGATCTTGTAAGCCAAGGTAGGAGTTTCATTTCATAGGAGGTTTTGTGCTCTACCAGTGCGCACCAAATTGGATCCTAAGTCTCCTGTTTAAACTCATCCAGGAGCTGCGCAGGTGGGTAGGGCGTGATTAAAAATAAAAAGGGTGTGAAGCCCAGTAGGGCTGGAGAGGAGAAATGGGAGGAGACTGACCTCCTGGACCCCTCTTGCCTCCTTCCGCCCAGGGCTGCGTTGTTATGCCAAATTCCACCGGAACCGCAGGGTCACTCGGAGGAAGGGGCGCTGCGTGGAGCCCGAGACGGCCAACGGCGACCAAGGGTCCTTCATCAACGTCTAGCGGCGACCTGCTTGGGAACTGAGCCCCGGAAGAGCTGAGCAGCCGGGAGATTTGGGCGTAACTAGCAGAGGGAGATGGCGTAGGGGACTAGGCGGCGGGGGCAGCTGAGAGCACCAGCTGCCTCTGTCCAGGAGCTGAAAAGCGGCGCACCTGCTCCTGCGTCTGGACCCGCGCACCTGGACTGGCCCATCTGCGCCCGCACCTGTGCCCTGACCTCTGCACCTGCGCAACCCCCGTGAGGTCCCCAGCGGCTGTGCCGAGAGTGCCCTCTACCGTCCGACAGCAGCACTGCAGCAGTTTTTAAACTATCAGCAAGGTTTGGCGAGTGGCAGAGAAAGGCGACGCCAGGCAGCAGAGTCTGGAGCACCCCCCTTGTACCAGGCAGGGTGCTCAGCGCGTGGCGTGCATCATCTCAATGAATCCCTACCACAGCCTTTCCAAGTAGCCATTATCATTTTCCAGGTAAGGACATAGAGCCACCCTCGAGCTACAAGATTTGTCCTGGGACCCGGTTGGCTGATCCTTGAGCCTTACGTGTGCGAGAGTCTCCTGGGGACCTGGCGAAAATGCGGACAGGGAGAGCTCAACCTGGGCCAGGCCATAGATCAACAAGGCTCTGTTCCTGCCCTTCCACAGCCCGAGAATTTAGTCCAATTTTTCCATGGCTTCCGGCAAGAAAAATGCCTCTCCTTATAGTTCCTTTGGCTGTGGCTGGAATATCTGGCTGTTCTCAGCCTCCCCTGGACATAGAAGCATCATATTTTTTTTAATGCCCATGAAACACTTGTTTTCGGTAAGGAAATATCCAGGCAGATTGGTCCCCCCACCCTCTGGTAGCTTATGTGCTGAGGCATAGTGTTTGGGGAAGACAGTAACATTATTCCTTAATTCCTGCGGGCCTGCTTATGCCACCCTGGGACTTGCATTTCCAAGTTGTCCTGAGAGATTCTGCCACTGCTGTTCTGTTGCACACACGCTCTCTGAAGAGGACACGAGTCGCACAAATATGCCCACTTTGCATATCATTTGCTGCTTCATGCCCCTGCCAGGCATTCCGGGACCCCACCCCACAGTTCTGCAGCAGACCCCATTGGAAGTGGGGGCCTCTGCCTTGAAGCACCCCAACAAGCCAGACCCATGATGCCTACCCAGCACATCCGACCCAGCACGTCCTGCTCCAGGGGTCACCTCTAAAGAGTCACTTAATTCCCCCGAGCTGGCATCTGAACCCTCTTGTGTCCAGGGCAAACCAGGCTGCAAACCCGGCCGCCTGTTTACTGCTTTGGGGAAATCAGTCAAGGTCAGGGGCAGGCACCAAGGAAGGCAGGCAGATCTTGAAGCAATCAAATACGCTTGCTCGTCTCTCCCTACCCGAGTTTGATAGGCCTGGGAATCTTGGGGGCAGAGGGAGGGCAGGGGAACTGAAAGTGATCAAAGCTGGCTGGTAGGAGAGCAGATCTGTGAGCAGTTTTGTGTTTGAGACCAGACGAGCTGCACGCTGGGTGACCTCCCGTGGAGCGGCCGGCCAGGGATTGTGCAGCTCTATGGGAGCTGAACCCTATGAGGCGACTGCAGGCAGAGAACCAGCAATAGCAGGACTAGGACGGCCTAACCTTGATGCCCCGGAAGTCAGCGATGGGGCTGAAAGGGCCTGTGCTTGGAAATTCCAGGCCCCTCTTTGCCCCAGCTACCTCCATTTTGCCTTTGCAAAGTGGGGATCCCAGGGCCCCCTTAAGTGTTTAATCCACCCCACCAGGACATTTTCAAGTTTCTTTTTTTTTGTACCAGGAGTCAAACTCAGGACCTTGCGCTTGCCAGGCAGGCGCTTGTGCCGCTGAGCTATATCCCCGGCCCTCAAGTTTCTTCTTATAGGTCTAATTAAATTTCTTCTTAATTAATTGGAGGAAGCCAACTTCCTCCAATCCAGAATTCACCAAACCTTTGTCATGAGGGGAAAATAAACACTGTAGGTTCTGCAGACCACAGGGTCTCTGCCAAACTGTTCAACTCTACCGCAGCTCGAGGCAGCCGTGGACAAGGTAGCAGTGAATCGGTGTGGCTGTGTGCCAGTAAAAAACATTTAGAGACCCAGGCTGGAATTTCATATGACTTCCCTGGGTCACATAATCATGTTTTAATTTTCCAGAAGCATTAAAAAATGTAAAAAAAAAAAAAAAAATCTTAGCTCACAGCTTTCAGAAAAACTGGCAGAGGGTCAGATGTGGCCCATGGGCTATGGTTTGCCAACCTTGTGCTGTTAATTCTCAGCCTCGACTGAGCATTGGCATAATCAGGAACTTTCAAAAGACCTGAGGTCCGTGAAGAAAGACTCTATTTTAATATAGAATTCTCTTTTTCAGTGCTGGGGACGGAACTCAGGGCCTTGCACGTGCTAGGCAGGTGCTGTGCTGCTGAGCCACACCCCAGGTGGCCTGGGCTGTGGTCTGGCCTTCCTGTTCCTCTAACTCGCCCCAGGTGGTTAAATGTGCAGCCGTCCACAGTCCACAGCGGTAACAGCTGGTGACAAAAGGGCTTATTCCACCTCCCACCACCTTGCCGACCTTAGGAAAGTTACTTAAGGTCTCTGTGCCTTGACTTTTTCATCTGTAAAATGGGGATAATAACAGTTTCCTGGTAGGAGTATTGTGAAGGCTAAATACATAATTCTTCTGAGGTATTTAGAACAGTGCCTGGCACCAAATGCAACCCAAGTAACCTACTAAACCATTCAGGAGGCTTTTAAAGTAGCTGTTGTGTTCTCAGGCCATGATCTGTCACATACTCAGATTATGTCTTTTGCCATGCAGGAATGAGGTCTGAGTGTAAGTCAGAGGTCTGGGCCAGCCCCGGCAGCGTGTCGGCTTCCAGGTTCTGAGGGAGGGGCTTGGGAGCCAGTGTCTTTGCAATAATAGGTTCATGAGTGTAAAAATGAACCCAGGGAGAGTTTCTTCCAGAGACTCCCAAATTCATTTCTGTGCTGTGTCTGGTGACACCAATGGTAGCTTTTGTGTGTGCTGCAAAAGGCCTGAGGGTTTGGATGACCTGAGGAAATGACATCTTTATTTACCCCGGGAGGAGTGACTGAGCCACAGATCAAATCCCAGAGTCACAGTCCCCACCCTGGAGAGCTGCAGGGCCACGTTCACCCCACCCAGTATTGAGACAGGAGGTTCGGGCATTCGCAGCTCCCTGTTTTGAGCTCCACTTTGCAGCTGCAGGCGGAAAACATACACAGCAAGGAGCATGTTTAGACAACAGAACAGCTAGCAAAGAAAATGAGGAGGCGAAGCAGGACTTGGAGGCTCCCTCCCGTCTGGGGGCTCACAATAACCTCCACGCTCACAGGCAACAGTGAGTGTGTGCGTGTGCTGGGCGTGAGGTGGGCAGTTTGTTGAATCAGGGCTTTTCATCACAGTGAGCGTGCGTTCTGATTCTATGGCAGAACAGGGATGTAAGCCACTTCCGGCTGTCTCTGCTCCTCTGCCTGCTCACACCATGGCCAGGGCCTGCAGCTGCGCCTGGAGCCTCGTAGAGGTGCAGCCCCTGGGCTCCACCCCGCACCTGAATCTCTAGGCCATTGTTATGCATGCTAAAGTCTGAGTGTCACAGGTCTAGGACGCAGAGGGGAAACCGAGCGCTGGACTGTTGGGGGACGTTTGGATGCTTTCAGTCATTTCTTTTGTTTTGTCATGTTTGCGGTCCTAGGGATGGAACCCAGGGAATGCTGAGCTACAGCCCCAGCCTTGTTTTAATTTTACTTTGAGGAAGGATCTTACCAAGTTGCCCAGGCTGGCTTCATACTTGTGATCCCCCGGCCTCGGCTCCTGGGCCCGAGGCCCCCCACCCAGTCATAGGGTTTCTTTAAGTGTGGGAGCAGCAAAGGAAGGGGTGCTGCACCCTTGGGGTCCTGTGACCACATGTTGCATGTGTTCTGTCAAGCTGTAAATAAAGAGACACGGTTACTAAGCCGAGTGGTCCCCTGTCCCTCCAGGTGGTCCTTCTTCACCTGGGACCTCGAGCCGGATCTCTGTGGTGGGGATCTCTTCCAGGGCTGGGGTGGCTGAGGTCCCAAAGAGATGGGACGGCTGGTCGCAGCAGGTTGGCCTCAGCAGCTTCATTCCCAGCACCCCCTCGTGGGGCAGGGGCTTGGCAAGGGCAGAGCAAAGCAGACGCTAGCTTCGGCGGGACCAGGAAGAAGAAAGCATGGCCAGTGGAGGCCGGGTCCAGGCAGGCTCAGATGCCATCTTGCAAAAGTGTGTGAGCCACTAGATGGTGGCCTGGCGTGGCACCAGGAAGAATGCCACTTATCTCAGTGGCAGTTCCCACCAGTATGGCCCCACTCTGTGGACCTCTGAGGCCCGGCTGACACAGCAGGCCATGTGACAGCTCTCACTGGCACTGTGTCCCTAGGCCCCTGAGTTCCGAAGTCAAGTCAGCGCCCAGACACTCCTGCGGGTGGGGTGGCTGCACACATGTCCTGCCCCTCGGCCGGATCTGATGTCCCTACAGAGGTCTCCCTGACCAGCCTGGGTTGGGGACCCAGGGTTTCCTAACACACAGCCCTAGGACAGCCAGCATGAGAACTCGGGCAGCAGCCCAGGTTTCTGAGCCCACCCCGGGCATCTCTAGGATGGGCTTAGACTCTGCCTGCTTGAACTTTAGGCTGGGAACTGCTGGGCCAACCTTCCTGAAGACTCACTGTCCTCCCTGCTCAGGCCCCAGGAGGCCCGAGAAGCAACTGCTGGGGATGGTTCTGAGGAATCAGGCCCAGGGGGTCCCTTTCCTCCAGGCTCTGTGAGTTATACCCTCCCTGTCCCAACCACTACACTTTATCTCTGCAGCATGGAAGCAGCCATAGACAACAGAGAACTTCATGAGCACAAACAAATGCAGACAACCATGTACCAATAAAACTTTATTTACACAAAAAAGAACTGGGCTGCATCCTGCGCAAAGATTACAGTGTACCTGCCCCTGTTCCTGACCTCTAGGTCAACGGCTGTAGAAAGACATGCTGGGCCCCTAAGTCCTCTCCGTTTGAGGATCTCCACTTAAACCCACTTCTACTAATATAGGTCAGTGCAGTGCTGAGGTAAAGGGTAAGACCAATCATGTCCAAGGCCATGACATTGTGCTGTGTGCTGGTGGCCTGGCTGCAGCCCTCAGGGGTCCAGTGTCTGCAGGACAGCAGGGGAGTCAGGGCTCTCCGAGAAATCAGAGGATATTTATATTTATGTATCTGAAAACAGCTATGTATACACATCATACACATATGTGTGATGTATATATGTAAAGTGACCATGTCCAGCACTGTTATAATCTTGAAGGCAGATTTCTCCTCTGGATCTGATCCTATGGCCTGACCATAAAGATCACTTGGCTGAAGTGACGCTAAGCTAGTTGGTGCCTGACCCAGAGGCTCCGCCCAAGTCTGTCTGCCTCCAAAACCTGATTCTTTGTCCATGACCTTGTGTTGCCTCCCAAGTGGCACCCGCTTACTGAGCACTTACTAGGAGCCAGTCACTGATCCCAGTCTAGGAGCTGTGCAGCTCATCCAGGACCACCGAGGCTGCAGTCAGGGCCAGCGAGACGAGATGCACCAGAACTGAGGGCCTGGACTGTCCCCCTCAGAGGAGGGACAGGGGATTCTCCCAGAGGCCTCTGCTGCCTGTCCACACCACTTTCCATGCTCTTCTTTTATGTCTCCTGCAGCACCAGGACAGACTCAGGTGAGACGGCCTGGAGCCATAGGTAGTGAAAGCCAACACCCGGATAAGCCAGGGCAGATAGGCATCGTAGGGGCGGCAGAGCCAGCAGCCACACTGGCCTCGTTTGTGCACCTGAGCCTCCGCCGGGCGTGGGCAGAGCCCTCAGATGCCTCCCTTGGAATTCCAGCACCACCCAGGTGGAAAGATGGGAGGCCCAACGGAGGGGAGGTGGCGGCAGCCTTAGGGTGGACTGAACCAAGGTGCTGTGAGAGGTGGGAGGAGCGAGGTGCATTCTGGGAGGGCTACCCTGGGCCGGCTGGAGTGCAGCTGCGGATGAGCTGAGGGTCTGAGGACCACAGGGGCACGTGCACACACACGCACACACACACACACCCCTGCGGGTTCCCAGGCATAGGCACCCAGGCACAAGTGAAAACCCCTGCTGCAGGCATAAATGTTTAAAGCAAACACCACCGAACAGGGAGGCAGAGCAGCTGGGGGCAGCCTTCCTCTTGGGCAATGCCCACTTCCCCTGCTTTGCTTCCAACAGGGCACTGGCAATTCTTTTGTCTGCCTTTTCTTTGATCACCAAAAGTCCCACAGGCGGTTTTGTTGTTTGATTTTTATTGGTCCTTCTGCAGCACACAATGATTAGGCTCATCCCAGCAAGTCCTGCGCATATATGACACACCTTAATTCTTTCTATGTCCTCTTTCCCACAGCCCTCCGCCCCCTCCCTCCATCTCTTGGTCCCCTCCCATTTGCAAACAATCTCCCTGTTTCCTATTATCTGTTTTTAATTTTGTTGTTTATTGGCCGGGGATACAGCTCAGTGGCCCAGCGCCTTGCTTGGCAAGCACAAGGTCCTAAGTTCAATTCCCAGTACCAAACAAAAAACAGTGTTGCTCTTTATTTATACTTTGGGTTTCTCATACAAGAGAAACCATGCAATATTTAAGCTTGTATGTCTGATGTATTTCACTTAACATTATGGTCTCAAGGTGAACCCATTTTCCTACAAATGACATCTTTTTTGATGGCAGTAGTACTCTGTTGTATGTAAATGCCATAATTTCTGCACTCTTTCATCTACTTTTTTTTTTTGGTCTTTTTTTGAGACAGGGTCTCGCTATGCAGTTCAAGCTGGGCTTGAGCTCACTTTGGAGCCCAGGCTGGTCTCGAACTCGCAATGATCCTCCCGCCTCAGCCTCCCAAGTGCTGGGATTACAGGTGTGTGCCACCACGCCAGGCCTTTCATCTACTTTTAAAATTTAGCTATTATGCTGAGCATGGTGGTGCACACCTGTAATCCCAGCACTCGGGAGGCTGAGGCAGGATTACTGTGAGTTTAAGGCCCGCCTGGGCTACAAAGTGACTTGAAGTCCTGCCTGAACTACATAGCAAGACCTTGTCTCAAAGACAACAAAAAAAAATTTAGCTATTATGAGTTGTGCCACTAGAAAGATGGGTATCCATGTACTCCTGAAATATGACTCTAACTCTTCCAGGATGATAGCAAGAAGGGGAAGAGCTGGTTCTAGTTTTAGTTTTTTGAGGAATCGCCATACTGATTTCCATAGCGGTTGTACCAGTTTATGGTATCTGTGATGCTGGACTCGAGCACATGGTCCCTGGACTGACAGGTGCATTATTATGCGAAATGTTTGGTGAGGTTTCGGCACGGTGAGCCTCACCCAGCATTACAGAGAAGCCGTAGTGACATCAGGAATTATTTTCTGTACTTTTATTTTTTGTTTGTTTTTTTTGTTTTGTTTTTCTCTGGTACCGGGAACCGATCTCACGACCTTGCGCTTGCCAGGCAGGCGCTTTGCCACTGAGCTAAATCCCCAGCCCCTATTTCCTGCACTTTTAAAGGAGATGCATGAACCCTGGCTGGGGCCCATAAATGTCAGCGATGCCACTGCTGTCAAATTGTGTCTTTGGAACAAGTATTTTAGATACACACAGATATTGACTAGTCACAAAGATATTGACTAGTCACAAAGCCGAAAGTTGCCCCTGGAGATGGGGCTGTCATTCTCCCAGCAATGTCAGGGTCCTCCAGGAAATACAAGAAGAGGAAAGTGGAAGAGCTGCCCACACCAGCCCCCTCCAGGCCCATGTCCCACCCCCACAGTGGCTCCATGGGGATTTGTGAACAGGGCCTGGACATGGCTGACTTGACTGACAGGTCATAATGCTGTTTGGCACCCGAACCGGAGATTGGACAGGACAGGTGATGAAGATGGGTGTGGTGACCCCTACCCATAATCCTAGTGCTCTGGGAGGCTGAGGCAGGAGGATCCCAAATTTAAGCCCAGCAACTCAGTGTTTTAGAGAGACCAACTTAAAATAAAAAGTAAAATAAAAAAAGGACAGGGCCAGGTATGGTGGCACACACCTGTAATCCCGGCACTTGGGAGGCTGAGGCAAGACAAGTGCCACAAGTTTGAGGCCAGTCTGGGCTACACAGTCAGTTCAAGGATAGCCTCAACTACACAGCAAGACCCTGTATCCAAAAAAAAAAAAAAAAGGGACAGGGGATGAGATAGGTGTGGGAGGCTGGGAGGGCCCCTAAGCCACACTGACTCCCGATCTGCCATGGTTCCATTTGTCCCTTCTCCTCCCCCCATACCCCACCATCTGCTGCTCTGGCAGCCAATCCCTGGCAAGAGTGAGACCATGCCCACTGATCCAACAACTTGACCACTCCAACACCCAGCCCCGCTCCACCCCTGCCAACTGCAGGCCAGGAAACCGGGAGCCAGCGCGTCCATGCACACGGCAGGGGGGGTCCAGTGGAATCCAGCTGCTCTGCCTCCCAGGCCTGCTCCGATGTGCTTCCTCCTAGGCAAGTGGCCCTGGCAGGCAGCGCTGGGGCTTGTTCTCTGCTCTCCTGCTTCTGGGTTGACTGGAGCACATGAGAAAGGAAGCAGCTGGGATCTCCACGGAGGTGTCCACTACCTCCAGTGGAAAGCTGCAGACACGCATGCACCACACCCAGCTCAAAGCTTTCTCACATTTGGGCCTCTCTTAAGCCTGGCAGGGTTCCAAGGTTATCACTGCCCCATTTCCTAGATGCAGAAAAAAAGTGGAGTAAGTTCCAAACCCAAGGTCAGAAATAACCAGCGGCAGTGGAAGAGGCTGGGGAAGCTGGAGGAACCCAGGCCTTAAATTCCCAGCACAATGCCAATCCCAGGGGGTCGGTCTGGCTGGCTTCACCAGTAGGAAAAAGAACTGGGCAC